TCTTCCTCTCTACTGCTTTCTCTTTTGAAATCCATTTTACGCTTTTTCTCTCTCTGCAATTCAACAACGATTTTACGTTTGTGTGACGGAGTCTCTGTGTTTCTCTTCAGTGTGTCTGAACTGCTGATGGGAGAGGTGGACAGCAGCACGTTGCTCTCCTTGCTGCCTACAGAGAAGAGCAGAGTGAGTTTGTCACCTATATGTCACACATGCCAACCAAAAAGAAAAGTTACTTAATGTGGTGGTTACGCAAAAAGCTCCTTGATTAAATTAAACGTCACTGCCCACAAAATGACTCCCACACCCAAATTTCTGCTGAGTGTAAGGGAGAAGAAAAAAAAGAAAAATATCCTCCAATTCTAGCGAGTAAAGCTTCGTGTTTATGCCGTTTTAGTCCATGGAGAACTTGTACACTGGTTCTGGCCATGGAGGAGATGGTGGACATTACAGGAGCGACCTGCAGGACATGGGTAAGCATAAAGGTGCCGTACAGCTTTTGCTTTCAGTTAATCACAGGTGCTGCTTTGCATAACAGTGTAACCTCCTCCTTTCCATTCATCTCATTTGACTCCATATGTAAACGTTATAGTGGATATTTTCCTATTTTCTGTATTTTGATGTGACAGTGCATACTTTCAAACCGCCAACGTCACTGTAGTCATCTTAATGTTATCCCTGTTTTCATGTGAGAGATTTTATTTCATGTACAGTAGGTCTCCCCCTGCTGATGAATATCCTGCAGTGCTCGGATGTTGTCGCAGTTAGTTTGTTGGAAAGCCACAGTCACAGGGAAAGTTTTTAGCAGAGAGAAATGACAGATTTAAGTACTGACCACAGCAGAAGACACTAAAAATGAGCTTCCAAATCAAATCCACTCGCATACCCGATGCAAACAATCGTTCTGTTTTCCGTCATATCGACAAAGCGTTTCCTGCACAGTGACCTGTGTTGGTGTGTTGATGTGTAGGTAGAGCTGAGGAAGTGGATGTCATCCTACAGCACAGCGAGGGAGGAGTGGACTCTGCTCTGCTCTACGCCAAAACCATTTCCAAGTACATGAAGGACCTGATGTGCTACGTGGAAAAGAGAACTTCACTTGGTTAGTGGGAGTGACGAAACTAATGAAACTATGTGAGAGTGATTGTACAAAGTCAGACCAACTATCAACTATGATTTCAGACACTAAACTAGACTTGAGCTTCTTCTCACTGACATGTTTTGGGGTTTGTTTGTTTTTTTGTTTTGTTTTTTGAGTCAGAAGTGACTATTTTTAGATGAGAGTACAATGTAACAAGTTATCAGTGAACTGATGAGCTTACTAAATCCACCCATTTAGCTGTCATATGGGAGAAAATTGGTTTTAAAAAACAACTATAGGCTGGAGACATTGTTATTTCTTATGTACATTTGGGGGGTTTTAACCTGGGAGTCCATGAGGATTGAGGCATCTTTGAAGACAGCTTCAAGTGGCCATTCAAGTTTATTCTATCTTATTAAAAAAATAGTGAATTCTTTGGGGTGATTAAATTTTTATTAGTGCACTTTATCCTAGAAGTTGTGCTTTTGACCATAATTGTAATAGTCTCTGTTTTTGTTTTGTCTTCCCCAGAGACCGAGTTCTCCAAAGGCCTCCAGAGATTATACCAGTCTTCCAAACACAGTATTACACATGTAAGTCCCGTTCACTTTCACCTCTAAAGATTAAAAAACACGAGCTGTAATTTCTTTATTGTTCACGATCATCATCTTATTGCTCGCTCTCTTCCTCCAGCCCCACATGCCTCTTTTCTCCATCTACTCTCTGGCTCTGGAGCAGGACCAGGAGCAGAGTGTGGGCCTGCAGCAGGCCAACAACACCCTGCACAACCAAACATTCATTCAGGTGCATTTCTGAGTTATTGGTTACTATTCTAGTAAATGAAGCACAAACCACATTTTTGGTTAGTCACTTGTAATTTCTCACCTCTCATATTTAATGTGTATCCTGCAGCCTCTGATGCAGCGTAAACAGGAGCATGAAAAGAGACGTAAGGAGATCAAGGAACACTGGATTCGAGCTAAAAGAAAATTGGTATGGCCTTATGATCTTTTGTTAATCAACAGCCCTGCTTTATCCTTTTACTGTGACAAGAAAATCAGGCAATAACTGAAAATACCACAAATCATTTTATTTATTTATTTATTTATTTTGTTTCGTTCCTCCTCGTTTAGATGGAGTGTGAGGCAAACCTGCGGAAGGCCAAGCAAGCCTACATAGCACGCTGCGAGGAGTACGACAAGGCTAAAACGGCAGCCTGCCGAGCTGAAGAGGAGGGAGGGGGATCCACAGCGAAGTCTGTGGAGAAGAAGAAACGAGTGGAAGAAGAGGCTCGCAACAAGGTTCTTCTCGATAACTTTGTTTTGCTGAT